TATCCGCATCTCCGCGGACTTTACGGGCCTGGAGATTTTGGCCATATTCTCCGGGATGAACTCCCGGAGCTTCGACGCCAGAACGTCGGCCTTCTCCGCGCCATCAGCACCTGGAACCTCTAGGACCTTACCGCCGGTGATCGCGGTGCGAAACCGCATATCTTCGATCCCCACTGCGCGGAGATCGATCCTTCTCTTGGCCTCCGCAAGGACATTCGCATCCGCGACACCCTCCCTTTCCGCCTCCGGGTCCAACGTAATAATAACCGCCGCGGAGCGAGGCGGTTTCAGTTTAGAAGGCGAGGGTGCGCTCGTCTTCTTTGCCTTCTTCGAGGGGGCCGAACCGGCTTTCGTCACCGGAGGGTTGGCAGCCACAGGCTGCCCTTCGGGAACACTGACGGTCTTGCCCCGTTTTCCTTTTACGACCGTCGCCCAGGAGGACGGGGTCGACTGCACAGACGTTTGAGCGGAGGTCGAAGCCACCGGCTCGGGCTGTCCAGAGGGCGCCGGTGTGACGGGCGTCTTCTTCGCCTTCTTCTTCTTGGCCCGACCCGTTTCTGACTGGGGAAGAGAACCCCGGTCGCCGACTCTAGGGGTGTCGGGCACATCTGACGCCATTGTCCCGGCCTCGGGCAAAGTTTGCGTGGAGACCGCAGACGAGGACGACACCTTCTCTGGAGGGGGCGAATGGAGATCATTTCTCTCACCTCTTTCATAAATGTCCCTACCATTTGGCGGGACGATGCCGCCGACATCTCTCATTATCTGAGCACGGAATGCGCTCGCATCACTTCCTACAACAGGAACACCGTCTGCCGAGATACCGGCCTGGGCCGCTGGCTTGGCAGCTGGCTTGGCAGCACGAGCCTCGGCCAACTGCCGACGCAGGTACTCGACTTCCTGCTCAAGTCTCAGGTTCTTTGAGACCAGTGGAGAGACCGACGTCGGAAATAGATCCCCCTCCAAGGTGTCCACAACCTGTGTGATCCCGGCCAAACCCTCTTTCAGGGTCCTTATGGTGGTCCCTTTGAGATTTCCCGCCTTCTTAACGACGTCGCTAAGAGCATCCGCTTGCCGATGGACGAGAAGTTTCGCCCTATGGAGTACCTCCTCGGCCACTTTGTTCTTGTCACCGGCGGCAGCGGTGGCAGTGGCGCCAGATGCCGTCGGCCTGTCCAGCTCCGTCGGTTTGTCTGACTCCTCATCTCCGGAAGAAAAGAAATCACTCTCGTGATAATCTAAGACCGTCACTGGGGGCAGACCAGATTTGCCAGCGGCTGTCCCTTCATCTTCGAAAAATCGGTATGTGAATTGCCGACACTCCTCCTTCTTTCTAGCGATCGAACTGGCTCTCGATCCCACTCTAGGGCTGCCGGACCTTTTGCGGACGGATTGGACATCGCCCTCATCCTCGACCGTGGAGTCCGTATCGGACTCGTTAAGACGCCTTTTGCGCCAGGAGCGTAGTCCAGATGTGGACGGCAACTGCTCCGTCTCCATGCCTTCATCAATTGGGGATGCGCACAAGCTCGACCGCGAAGACCCGCAGTCGGTCTCGCCCGCAACCGCCCTCAACAAGCTGTGACGAGTGCGACGGCGACCTAACTCCACAACATCCTCGCCCAGTACAACGGAGCACTCTTTCAGAACCTCCACTTCCGACTTCTTTTTACTAACACCGCCCTTCACGGGCACCGACTTCTCTCCGCCCTTCGCGGGCACCGACTTCTCACCGTCCTTCTCGGACACGACATCAATTTTGGGTTTTGTTTTTGACATATCCATACTTGTTCCCACGAGTATGGGGGAAAGGTTTCACACGCAGGGGAGCCCCTGCTTCTGCGTGCGGCCTACATACAACGGGGTGCGGCAGATACCCCGAGGTTGGTGCCCTTGCGGCCGATGATACTCCACCGACCCGCCCGCAGCACAGAACACGCTAACCGAACTTTTAATGTCCGGTAGCGTGCACCGCACAACGAACTATGCATCGCCAGGCACCGAAGCTTACACAAGAGGATTTTTATAGAGGTTTACTCCTCGCGGCCCAGGCGGTTAAGCCAAGGCCCCCGTCCCCTCACTCGGGTGCGAAACATGACCACACCTCCGCGAGGGATTACGGTTTTTCGGCGGTGGCACTGAAACCAGCCCGGCTGCGCAACGAAGCACTCACCGGGCCCGCCGACCACTCCCACTACGAGAAGTCGCGGAACAAAACCCGCCCCCAACAAAAACACGACAAACCCCATAACTTGGGCTCGCCGCTCACCACCTCGTGTCGGAATATTAGCCGTCGGTAAGTGAGATCTCTAAATAGCGAGAAGTCACTTACCGCCGTTGCCCAGGATGCACCAGGCCCCAGCCATTGTCAGCCACCGTTCCCGCCGGACGTATCCGCACCAGGACAAGTGACCGTACAATGAGCCAGGGCACTCTTGGAGGTTTTCCGACCCAGCACCCCTAACCTAACCTAACCTAACCTAACCTAACCTAACCTAAC